GCACAGCTCGATTCTGGACCAGTTGCAGTCGCCGGACCGTCTTCAAAGGCAGCCCCACGTAGAGCACATTGCAATAATCTATACGAGATGTTACCAGTGCATGTGTAACTGTCATGAGACTCCGCTCGTCCAGGTAGGGTCGTAGCTGGTATAATTTCCGCAGCTGAAGGAAGGCGCCTCTGGCCACTGAGTCCACCTGAGCTTCCAGAGTTAGACTGGTGTCCAGGAGCACCCCCAGGCTGCGGACCCTGTCCCTTAGGGGGAATGTAACCCCATTCAGGGCATGGAAATGGCCCTCCAACCTGTCCGGCGAAGCACCCACTAACAGCACTTCCGTCTTGTCTGGATTGAGTTTCAATTTATTACTCCTCATCCAGTCCATTATCAGGTCCAGACACGAGTTCAGCACAGAAACCGCCTCACCTGGATTGGTGGAAAACGAGAGGTAGAGCTGAATGTCGTCAGCATATTGCTAACTCCTCAGCCCAAACCTCCTGATGACCTCTCCCAGCGGTTTCATGTAGATGTTAAACAGCATGGGGGACAGTATCGAGCCCTGATTTGGTATCTGATTTGTTACAGGTCCTTTTGCATAACTCAGCAGAATTACAGTAGGATGCAATTATACATAACTACCAAAAATATCATTAGTAAACTCAATCACCATATGAAAAAAATTTATTTTCAAGCAGAACCAAACACATTTAGCTTATCTGCATGTTGTGATTTACACCACCAGCATTTATCCAACTATTGTTTGTGTGTGTGTGCTTTTTTTATATAGATGGTTTGCCTAAGGTGTAAGGTGGTCCTACTTTACACCTTTTAAATTAGCAAGTGGTCAAAATGCTGTTACATAGTTAAGCATAGGGAAGGCAAACAGTGTAAAGAGCAGCAGCTTCTTACCAGCAGTTAACAAGTCTTGGCTTAAAAATTAGAGCACCACTCACCCACTGGTTTGGGATGCACCAGAAAATTCAAGAAGGAACTGCAGCAGCCGTGATTAAGCAATAGCATGTTCGTGTGCCCATGCATGTGTGTGATTGTTTTACAATTTAAAAAGATGAATAATTTGCATTATGGCCATATTTTCTTATTTTTTTAAGGAATTGCTCTTATTTTTTTGCAATTAAGAGGTGAGAAAATATTCCAAGCTTTTTTGCATTTTATGTTGGCAGTTTTAAAAAAGGGGGCCTCCCTAGAATCTCACAGCAGTCTTTTTCCCAATATCTGATCCAGAATATCACTTTCGCAGAGTCTACAATGCAGGTCTGCTGCAGAGAAATGTATAGAAGAATGAAAGATCATTTAGGGTTTAAATAGAAGCAGCTGGTTCTGGAGAATGAAGAAATGAAAAGAGAATGGGCAACTGTTCAGAAAAAGACTGTGTTTCAGTCCTCTGGCTGCCATGCATGCCTGAGCCGTCTGGCATAACGTATTTTAGGTTATGCATAATACATTTTCCACCTGCCACTTTCCTATGGAAATCAAATATGCTTCTTGAAAAGGTTCACCCAGTAAACTGTATATCATTCAAAGCAGAATTATGAACTTGGTTACTTTAGAGACAGAGACAGAGTGGAATTCAAGATTGTCTAAGACCAAGATGGAATAGAGGGGAGGTTAAGCTACTCTTTGGACATGATATAATGCACATCTGGCAAACAATTCTATGACAGTAAAACTGATATGCAAAACTGGTATTTTCCCCATTTGACAGACAAAAGTGTTTTAATCTGAAATTAGATACTCCAGTGATATATTTTTTATTAAGTAGTACTTTGGTCATGATCCAAGTTATTGACTGGAGAGCTTGTGCATGTGGAATGGGCTGGGGTTGTGGTTTGAAGGACAATGATGCAACAAAATCCTTGTTGAACTAAAACATGTTTGGATCTAGTCATTGCCTGGAAGTAAACCACTTGGGAAGGCTTTGTACACCACCTTGACTTCAGGTAAAGAAAGTTGGAACGAATGAGTAGTGAAGCGCTGCCAGCACGTTTCCAAAGCTCTTGGGTTCTTTTGAGTTCACCTTCTCTTGAAGAAAGAACTTTGGCAGAAACAAACAGAACCAACAAACAAAAGTTATACAAGCTTCAGTACAGGTGCAGATGTATTTTCATGTGTATGCCACAGATGTTTTGGTTTTTAAGCGTACCATGTACAGTGCAATCCTGTATTTCAGTAAGTTCTACTTTCATGCAAGTCTGTATAGGATTGGAGCCCTGGTGGCTTTCCTACTGTGAATATAGCAGTAAGCAGGGACAGTTTTAAGTCCAGAATTTCATTATTATTTGCATGTAAAGTAACACAATGTTGTTTCATATTTTTAAAGACAATTTATATTCTTTTCTCCAGCAATACCACCATTATAGATACTAGAGGAATAGTCTTATAATAATAATATGTATAGCAAATAGTGTTACCTTTGCTGTGATTCTTATTTTATTCTGTTTTTATTTCAAGTTTGGTGGTGATTTGGTGACAAGACCTAGACCAGGAGGAGACCTTTTGCTGAGAATAAAAATAGGTTTATGGGATGGGTGGTGGGAATTACTTTTATTTTATATCTTATTCATTTCAAGTCCCCATATATTGGAGACTCATTTATCCTTCATTTTTCACAGGTATATTCTACTTATGGGCCTTCAGGATAGAAATGAAAAGCTATTCTATAAAGTGCTGACTTCTGACATTGAAAGATTTATGCCTATTGTTTATACTCCCACTGTCGGCCTGGCATGCCAACAATATGGTATAGCATTTCGGAGGCCAAGGTATGTAAGATTATACTTCACATTCAAGTAACAATAGCTTTCTTCCCTTTGGCAGGTTTCTGCTTCTTTTTCTCTCTACAATGTTGAATGGAATCAAAAACTGGGATCATTAGGATAATTCAGACTTCATTAAGTACACTTTTAGTCTAGCTGCACTGTAATTTCTGTTGCATTGGAAAAATAAACCATTATTTCAGTGTTTTCAGGCAGATACATTTTAAAAATTCTCTTTGATTCAGTTGGGCTTCTGAAGAACCAGTGCTGCTTACTAGCAAAAATGATAATAATAATAGAAACAAAAATACAACTTTAATTTAAAAGCTCAAAAAATATTAACATTGTAAATGACAGTATTAGATTTTATTTACAAAAAAAGAATGTCAAAATGATACCATGTAATTTTTTGTGAAAGCATTGAACCAAAACTTTTAAAATCATGTTTAGATGTTATTAATACCCTTGGCAACATCAGACAGCCTCTGTGGTTCACAGTTATTTTCCTTCCAGTTATGATAATAGCCAAAAAATTTTTCTTGTTATCAGACCTTTCTTACAGTATATTTGTACAGAATCAGTTCTTACAGTGAGTCCCTTGATTCTCTTTTAAGAGTCTATAAAGTTCATTATTGAAATGCTGGAACAGCAGAATTATTAAAATATTAACAAATTAATATTTTTACATGTTAGCTAAATGGAAGGATCTGCTACTGCTTGTAAACCAGCAGTTAACTGTGACTTCAGCTAATTCAGTAGGAATTTTGACCAGAAGACATCAGAGCTGTTTTAAAAGTCTTTGTTCTGAACTCTATTTCCCATTACTGTATTAACGTACTTAAATGAAATGAGGGAGTGGGAGACGAAGAGTTTGGAAAATTTCCTTTTTGATCCTCTGTTCTCAGATTCCCCCGACCAACATGGTCAGTGCCTAGGTGAACTTCTGGGAATAAAAAAACAGCTTTTTAAAACTCTGAAATAACCTGACAGAGGCTGAAATCTTTTTTTTTTTTTTTTTTGCAATTTACAGTGTGTAAGGCGAATGATGTCATCAGCTGCAGTGATTTTTTGGAAAATAAAACATTTCTAAGCCCCCTTGGAACAATCTTTTTCATCATAGCAGAGTTGTTGGGAGTGGGGTGTCTAAAATCACCACCACTTGTAAAATCCTAACCCCAATGGCTTCCTGGTGATGACTAGGATTTTTTAAAAATTGCTGCTAATGCTGACATCATCAGCTTTATGCAGCATAACTTCTGGCAACAGGATTTCAGCTGTTGTACCCTTTCATTTTTAAAAATTTGTTTAGCAGTCCGAAATTGTTCAATTCTATTGATCCCTTTTAAAGAAAACATTAATGCAGTGCACAGATGGAGTCCTGACTCCTATCCTCTGAAGATGCTGGCCACAGAGACTGGCGAAACGTTAGGAAGAAAAACCTTAAGAACACGGTCAAAAGGCCTGGAAAACCCACAACCACCATTGGATCGGCCTAGAAAACCCACAACCACCATTGGATCCCGGCTGTGAAAGCCTTCGAGAAAACATTTATATTTGATTTTGTGCAATTTTGTTTCTGCTGAAAAAACATGTGGTCTTATTAAGAATGTAACGCTAGTGGGAATTTGGCAGTGGCAGGTGCACAATGAAGACTTAATAAAACCAAACCTTATGGTCACGTTTTATCTCTTTCAAATATATATATATAAGAACCAGCATGATTGTTGTTTTAGTTAGGTGGTACTTGGGGAAGGGGAATGTCATGCTGCCTTAAAAGAACCAGCATGATTGTTGTTTTAGTTAGCTTCTACATCAGTTGCTCTGCACAATAAGACATTTGTTTTGTTTGTTTGTTTAAAATATTTTTACTTTGCCTTTTTTCCCTAAAAAGGACCCAAGACAGCTTATAGTACATCATTAAAAGACAGTATTTAAAGCAAAAATGTGTAACTGTTGTTTCTGTTTAGTTGTTAAGTCATGTCCAATTCTTCATGACCCCATGGACCAGAGCACACCAGGACCTCCTGTCTTCCACGCCTCCCAGAGTTGGGTCAAATTCATGTTGGTAACTTCAGTGACACTGTCCAACCATCTCGTCCTCTGTCGTCCCCCTTCTCCTCTTGCCTTCACACTTTCCCAACATCAGGGTCTTTTGTGTAACTATACAAATGTTAAAAAGAATCAAACAAATACCACACTAAAAATGGGTAAATAAAAACAACATCAAAATTGCATTCAAAAGAGTAATGCACAACAATCCATTTAAAAACTCCACTCACGCAGCCAGTCACTAAGGGAAAGGTTGCTCGAAGAGAAATATCTTTGCCTGCTTATGGAATGGCAGCAAAGATGTGGCATACCTGGCCTCTTGTGGGAGAGAGTTCCAAAGTCTGGAAGCAGCAAGAAGAAGGACCTCTCTTGTATCCTCTCCAAACATGCATGTGGAGATGGCAGGATCAAGAGAACAACCTCTTGTGATTATCTTAATCCCCGGGCAAGCTCATAAAGGGAGAGCCTGCCCAGAGTTTAGGAATTTGTAGGTTAGAACCAGCACTTTGAATTCTGCCTGGAAATGGATAGACAGCTAATAGAGCTGCTGTAATGGGGGTGGGTGGGTTATATGTTCTTTGTGACCAGCCCAGTTAAGGATGATAATTGTTAGAATCACACATTTATGTGCTTCTTCTTTTTCCTGCTTTATATTTGATGCACATGCTTTCTATAATGTTTTGAGATAAAGAAATCACTATTTGATGTTCCCTCTAATTTTCAGCCTTGCTGATCAGGGCTCTGCCCTGGCATGAGCAACTCTACCCCCACGGCTCTGCCCCCCCCACGAGCTCTGCTGCAAAACAGTAGCTGTGGGTGCATGGAGGAGGAGGAACACTGTAGGGAGGGGGGTGCTGTGCTGTATGCCCATTCAGCCACACAGCTTAGAAGGAACCTTGGTTCGAACCTTGTAACTGTGACAAACCCAGACCTACTGGTGAACCTTGTAATGTACAGTATTCACCATTGTTTTGACTTGCTGTCAAATATAAAAAGGTGAAACATCTATTCTTTCACTTGTATAGGATTCAGGACCACAAGAGAAGTAGCAAAAGATGTTCAGGAATGTGAGCAAAGGGTTGGGAGAGATAGATAAAATATGTGGATGAAATTCCATATCTAGTACTCATATGAAAATATATGTTAGTTACAATGATTTATTTATTTATTTTAGTAGATTTATACCCCACCCATCTAGACAGATAGTCTACTCTGGCTAGCATAACAAAGTTTGAAACCAATAAAACCAATAATGGTTTTCCCATTATGATGTTTTAGCTCAAAATAATGTTTTAGCTCAGAACTTTTACTCAGAACTTTTTACTTAGTAAAATATGTTTTCATCTTTATCTGTTTTCAGCTTTCACCCCACACATACAATTAAAACAAGTTATTTAAATTGTTCTTCATGTCATCCATCTGTATTGTATATCATAAAGATAAAGCCTTTCTCTTAGAGATGCTGAAAAACCAGAGAGAAGGAAAAACTGAGATTACAGCATTGATGTAATAGGTCATCTTAATTTTTCCTGTAGTTCCATTTTATAAAACCTTTTTAGATCTTCCCCATTCCTGTCCCAGCATTGTTAACATTGAAATACAAGCCATTTCCTTTCCTTTTTTCCAAAGTATGTTATAAAAAATGGTGGAATAACATTCCTATATGGAATTATTTCTGATAAATAATGTCATGATTACTAGTTTATTTCTGGTATTATATCTCCATGGATCCATAAAGTTTACAGATCTTTGTATTGGTAGCATATCTGATAGCTAGGTTAATTCCTCCCCTGTGCTTCATTTAAGAGTGATTATATTGTAGATCTCTAATAAGCAATGGTATTTTTTCATCTGTACATAATTGCAGATAATGAAATACTACATAACATGCACTGTTTGGAAACATTTTTTCCATATGACAACAAACTTAGCAGTAGGTGTAATATTATGTCATGCTTCTATTACTAGCAGCATATATTTTTTTAAATGTTTCCACTGAACTTTTAAAATGCTGATAGCTGTAGTTAATCTAAGACTTACAGTAGTTGTAATGAAATAGTCAGTGGGTTAAGAGAGAAGTATCAGTTGAAACAAAACGAAACAAATTATATGGTATCCTTTTTCCACTGCAAGCAGAGCACCTCCATACAACTCTCATAGGATGAACTAGGGACCTGTTCCCCCCTCCCTCCTCAGCATGATAAAACATTGCAGAATGGGAGGCCTGCTGCAAGCTTGCATTTCTTAATCAAGCAGAAAGGGTGATTGGAATTGGAATATGAGAAGAATACAGAGGCCTCCCCTGGCACAAGGGAAGGGAAAGTCCCTTATGTGATAGAACTATAGCTCAACGATAGAGCATCTGCTTTGCATACCAAAATACTATGTTTTAATTCCCAATATCTAGGTAGGTCTAGAAAAGTAGTTCTAAATCAAACTAGTGTTAAGATTGCAAAATTGGGCTGTTGAAGAACAGGGAAAATCTACAAGCAAGAATTCTCCACACTCACGTGACTGTAGTTTTTGGGGAGCTGTCAAAGTTTGAAATGTTGTATAAAGTTTGAAATAAAGTGTTAAATGTGTAAAGATGGTATAAGAAATGTAACCCTAAAATCATGAAATGACTTCAGGATGAACATCTGTAACCTTCAAAGCAGGTGTTGACTTCAATGTACAAAATGTCCTTTAGAGGTCACTGGTGAGTAGTTAAGAAACTTCCATTCAGTCTCATATAATCTGCCTGTGTAGCAGAGTAGATGTACTGTAAAAACATATTAGGTCTTCAAGTGTAGCAGTTCCAGACTCTATGTAAAAATATATTGAATCTGTTAGGGTAGGGAAAAAAGTATGTAAGAGAAATTTTTGACACTCTCTCTTACCAGGTAATGTTCACTTTTCTAGCAGAGTCTATGAGATTTTGCAATAGCTTGCTAGCAATGGAATCTGCAACTTAGATG